GAGGAGAGACCGGTCCTTGGAGAAGGACATCATGCTTGGAAGGGTAGAGGGACAGTGCAGGAGGGGAAGGCCCTCTATGAGGTTGACTGATTCAGTGACTCGGGTAATCGGGATGTGAGTGTCAGAGACAGTGTGATTGTCCAGGACAGAGCAGAGTTTAGGGCTGTTGTACATAGGGTCGCTATGAGTTGCAAGCGACTCGATGGCACATAACAACAACAACAACTCCTCAATAATTTGGAAAGGTCCCTAACTGCAGATTTTCCCAGTGCAATGCATTTCCTTATTATCTGACTGCTGGTACCAAGGGTATTAATTGTGGATCCAAGCAAGATGCAGCTGTTGACGGTTTCAATTCCGCATCTATGAACTGTTCCAGCCATTTTTGAATGATCTTCAGTCTTTGCTTGCATGTGATATCCATGATATTGTTCGATAATTTCCACATTCTGTTAGCTTGCTCTCCTTTCTTGGGAATGGGAACAAACATGGATCTCTTCCAATCCATTGGCCAGACAGCTCTCCTCCAAATTTCCTGGCATAGAATTGTAAGTGCATCTAAGACTGCATCTGTTAATTGAAACAAGTCAATTGGTATCCCATCGATTCCTGGTGCCTTATTTTTTTGCCAATGCCTTCAATGCAGCTTCTACTTCCTCCCTCATTACCTTTGGCTCTTGTTCATATGGTACTTTCTTAAATTTTTCAGTGTCAATCAATTCTTTCTGGTACAGTGACTCTGTGTATTCTCTTCTTCTTTGGATGCTTTCTGGGTCATTCAATATATTGCCTATAGCATCTTTCAATACTGCAACACAAGGTTTAAAGTTATTTTTCAGCTCTTTCAGCTTGAGAAATGCAGAGTGAGTTCTTTTTATTCTCCAATTCCAGCTCTCTGCACATTACATTATAATACTCTGCTTTGTTCTCCCGAGCTGTCCTTTGAAATTATCTGTTCAGCTCTTTCACTTCAACATGTTTTCCTTTAGATTTGGCTTCTCGATGCTCTAGTGCAATCTTTAGAGTCTCTTCTGACATCCATTTCGATTTTTTCTTTCTGCTCTGTTTTTATAATGACCTTTTGCTTTTCTCATGGATGACATCCTTGACATGATTCCATAACTCATCTATTGTGAGTGATAGGATAATATCCTACACTTATGAGGAATATTATAAAGATTATATCCATAATGTTGTGAGAGATAGGATATTATCCATACACATGTACAAGTAGAAATGTGGCATCAGTATTGGTAGAAGATTCATCAACAACCTGTATTGTGCAGATGACACAACCCTGCTTGCTGAAACTGAGGGGGACCTGAAGCACTTGCTGCAGAAGGTCAAGGACTGTAGGGTTCAATACAGATTGAAGCTCAACATCAAGAAAACAAACATTCTCACCACTGGGACAATTGGCAGCATCAGTATGGATGGTGAAGAGATTGAGATAGTTAACAGTTTTAGTTTACTTGGCTCCACAGTCAACACTCTTGGTACCAGCAGCCAAGAAATCAAGAGACGAATTGCATTGGGAAAGTCAGCCGTGAGGGACCTCTCCAGAGTACTGGAGAGCAATGACGTCAGGCTGGAGACTAAGGTGCACCTGGTCCACGCTATAGTCTTCGCAATTGCATGCATCAGAGAGCTGGACAGTGACTAGGGATGACAGAAAGAGAATTGATGCCTTTGAGCTGTGGTTCTGGAGAAGCGTATTGACTATACCATGGACTGCTAGGAGAACACACAAGTTTGTCCTGGAGAGGGTGAAGTGGACTTTTCTTTGGAGTCAAGGATTCTGAAGCTTCCTCTGACATATTTTGGGCATGTTGCAAGGAGGTACCAGACCTTGGAGAGAGACATTGTGTCTGGCAGAGTGGAGGGACGGCGCATGAGAGGAAGACCGTCGATGAGATGGATTGATCCAGTGATTGGGGTAGTGGGAGTAGGTGTGTCAGAGACAGTGAGGTTGGCACAGGATACGGTAGGGTTTAGGGCTCTTGTACATACGGTCACTATGAGTCACAAGTGACTTGATGGTACCTAATAACAACATACAAAGAAGACCTGTTAACATGATTATTATTCAAATATGTGCTCCTACATCCAGAGCCAAAGAAAAAGAAATTGAGAATTTTTACCAAATTTTACAGTGCAAAATTGACCGAACATGCTGCATTAATGATAATTGGTGACTGGAATGCAAACGTAGGACACAGTGAAGAGAGAAACGTAGTTGGAAAATAACAGGCTTGGTGATAGAAATGAAGCTGAAAATAGAATTTTGTATTTACAATGATTTATTCATTGAAAATACCTAAAAGACACAAAAGATGACGTTACATTTGGATCTCACCTAATGGGCTGCACAGGAATCACATTGACTACATTTGTGGAAGAAATCACTGGAGAAGCTCAATATTGGCAGGGGTGGACTGTGGGTCAGCCCATCAAATACTCATAAGCAAGTTCAAATTGAGGCTGAAGAAAATGAAAGTAAGTCCACAGGAGCAAAGATAGGATATTGAATAAATTCCATGTTCATCTTAAGAATAGGTTTGAGGCTCTGAACAACAGCAATGATCGAAGACCTTCAAGTGGTAGAAATGGTTAACTGCTAGATTACTGTCCAGGCTGGAGATTTGACCCCCGCTAGAGATACTTGGGGATCTGGTCCTGAGAGGTTACAGCCTTGGACACTCTACGAAGCAGTTCTACTCTACACATGAGCTGAGCCTGAATCCACGCAACAGTGTTAACAACCACACGGCAACCTGTGGGCACTGGAGCTGGTGAGCTGGGACTCATTGTCAGGGCTCTGATCTACCACAGTCACTTACTAAGATCTGCCCCGTGTCCTTGCTGCTCCTCCCTCTGCTCCCTTCCTTGACTCTGGCCCAGCCACCTGACACCTCTTCACCGACCCTCTAACTTCCAGCTCCAGCCCCACCTCACAGCTCTGCATTTAGGTTCTCCCAGCCTCGGGTGCTCTTCCCTTAATGTCTGGGTTCCCTCCACCCCTTCGTGTGTCCTCTCAAACTCAGCTCCCCCTGCATTGCTTGTCCCCACAGCCTAGCACACGACGGTGCACATAGTAGGTGCTCAGGAAAAGCGTCAAATCAGCAGGCATCAACCAGTCAGCAGCCAGGAGGCCTCCCTCAGACCCCACACCGTCCGCACCTTGTGGCATCGCGTGATCACCTCCATTCCCACAGAGGTCACCAGAGAAGTGATGTCATCCAGGAAGTGGCTGGGGAAGCGCAGCCGACGAGGTGTGTCCAGTCGCTGGCCGAGAAGCAGGTGCAGCGCCATGCTCTTCACCTGGTGTCAGGGGAGAGGGGTGGGGTGTGAGGTGCCAGGGAAGGGGGCTAAAACAATGTCCGGAGGGGTCTGGGATAGAGACTGATGGCTAAAGGCAAGGCCAGGAGGCAGTGGACGTGACCCAAGGGCGGTGGGCGTGGCCCTAAGAATGTGGGCGTGACCAGAAGGCTGTGGGTGGGGTCAGAGGGCTGTGGGCGGGGCCAGAGGGTTGTGATCTGTGGATGGTGCTTAAGGCCTTAGAGAAGTGATTGGTGGGGAAAGCTGCAGTGTGTAGGCGTGCCTTCAGCTGGCCAGTGAGTGAAGCCTAAGGGTGGGACAAAGGGTGTGGCTAAAGGCAGTGGGCGGGGTTGCATGGGTGTGGCCAGCAGGCTCTAGGGTGGAGCCTGGTGTGTTTTCCAAAGAAGGACCTTTTAAGACTGGTTCTGAAAGTTTGGATGGGGGTTCTCAAATCTCATCAGAAGGATCTTTCTTTCCTCTCTGGTCAGGGATATCTCCTGCAGTAGGGGTGTCTTCTCCTCCGTGGGTCTAATTCTCTGCTATCTTATGGGGAAGGTGTGGAGGAGCGGGTTTCAGTCACAACGTGGAGGGGGCAGGTGTGGAGGGGGCCTCACCATGAGCTGGAAGAAGAACCAGGCGTGCTGCAGGACAGTCTCCCGCACTGTGCTGCCACTGACCACCCACTGCAGGGCCAGCTCCTCGTGCAGCAGCTGGGGGGGAAATAGGGGTTACCAGAGGCCGAGAAGCCCTGTCCCTCTCTAGAGGGTGACAAGGGAAGGATGCAGCTGAGGGCAGTTAGCGTGGGGTAGGGGACATGCAGAAGGGCAGGGCAAAGAGAGAGCTGTCCCCTCCCTCCCCAGCAATACAGACCAGCTGGGCTAGGGGTGGGGCCTGGACCCCCTGGCTGGGGGCTGGGGGATCGCCCACCCAATCCCCACTACCTTGTGCCCAGTGAGTCTTGGCTGGGAGGTGGACGGGGCCGAGGTGGCGCCCTCGAGGTAGGAGGAGGTGCGGCTAGCATTGCGGTCGATGGCCTATGATGGGATGGGATGAAGACGATGGGATGGCATGGAGGGGTTAGAGTGGTGGCAATGATGGGAGTATGACGAGAGCTAGGTGTTAGTGTAGAAACAGGAAGGAGACCCACAGGGGAGACCCCTCGACCTGGCCGGCAGAGGGAAGACCTGTGCGCTTCTGGGTGGAGGGAAGATGAGTTCATGTGGAAGGGGAGCTGTGTTAGTGTGGATGGAGAAGGGGAAGCTCCGTGTGGATGGAGTTCTGTGGGTTGAGACTGGGTTACACGATACAGATGGGGAACTGTGGAGGCATGAAAAGGGCTTGCAAGAATCTGAGAGGCACTTTGGAGTATGGACAGGAAGTAGAAGAAGGAAGACAAAGGGACTGTGACAGGAAGTGTTAGTTATGGTGGGTGAGTGGAAGAGAGAATGCAGGTGTGTGATGCAGGAGAGAAAGGCTATGAATGCCGAGTGAGGGGAGAACGTGGATGGACGAGGAGGAGCCCGGCAGATGTCCACTGAGGAAGGATGGACAGGCAGGGGTAGGGCAGGCTGAGGAGGTAGACTTGACACAGATGGCAACAGTGAGTGAATCTCAGTGAGCTGAGGAGACGTGTGTAGACGGGAAGGGAGGAAGGCTGGCTCAGAGGAGAGGATGAGTGTAGACAGAGGTGGAGAGAGCGAGGAAGATGTGGACAGAGGAGGTGTAACAGCGATGAGGCAGAAGCAGCCGAAAACCTCCGATTCCCACTCCAGCCTTGCCAACCTCAGTGCCCCCATCTGTGAAATGGGTGTGGGGACTCAAGCTTCTCTCTCCTCAGCTGGACTGGAAAAGAGGCACTGGTGACTCGGCCTGCCTGATCCCCGCAGCCCGGCCCTGCTGGCTCCTCACACCTCTGCGGTGCCCCCTGCCTAGGCTGGCCACGTCCTCCCACCTCTCGCTGCTCTGCCAGGGAGCTGAAGATGTGGAGAAGGGGCATCGTGGTGAAAATGCTGGAGGCCATGAACCAGCCTGTCAGCAATTCCTAGATGGGATACCCAAAGATCCTCTTCAATCTGCTACTGATAGGGTTGCTGGGGTACAGTCACCCTGGTGAGGGGTACAGGGCTGTGGCCTGGGTCTGAGCGTGTTAGGCTGACTCTCTGGAGAAGGCCCCTTCTCTGCAAGGCCACGCCCAGTCTGTCACACGTTCCTCCCTGGCCAGCTCCAGCTCACACATCACCTCTCAAGACAGGTCCATCCCAGTGACCACGCAGGGAGGCTGGCCCCTACCTGCTCTTGGCACCAACACATTTTCCACACATAGTGCAATCAGACATCTGTGGGTACATCGATTTCTGGTCTATAATGGACCAGTCCTTGTCGTTTTTCTCCAGCCTGCTGGTGTTTTGGCCATGAGTGAGCCCCATACACAAACCTTGCCTGCCCTGCGCTCTGACTCTCCCAGGCTTTGGCCCCTATACTGACCACTTCTGAGTCTCTTCTCATCTCTGAAAATGTAGGAAGATCATCATTAGACAAATGAGAAAAGAGATGAATGAGAATGTTGTTGGCTGCCATCAAGGTGACGTCGACTCACAGCGACCCCACATGAAGCAGAATGAAAGCCCGCCCAGTGCTGCTCCGTCCCTGCAATCTCTGCTGTGCTTGCCTGATGCTGCAGTCACTGCCCCTCCTTCTTATCGGGGGTCTTCGCTCTCTACTATTAAACCTCTGCTCTTCTAAGCATGATGTCCTCTCCAGGGACTGGTCCTTCCTAGAACATGTCCAAAGGATGGGAGGAAGTCTCCCTACCATTACTTAGAAGGAACACTGTGCTTGTACGTCTCTAACACGGATTGTTCGTTCTCCTGGCACCCACGGTATATGCCATTTCATATTCTACACCAGCACCACAATTCAAAGGCACCCGTTCTTCTTTGATCTTCCTTATTCATTGTCCAGCTTTCCTATGCACATGAAACAGTTGTAAATACTACTACAGGTTGGGCCAGGCACATCTTAGTCTTCGAGGTGACCTTTTCATGTTTTAGCACTTTCAAGGGGTCTTTTGAAGCAGATTTGTCCAATGCAATACGTCATTTGATTTTTTTTTTTTGGCTGCTGCTTCCATGGCATTGTCTGGCAGCTCAAGGAAAAGAAATCTAACATTTTCTGCATTTGTCATGAGAGAACTTGCTAATCCAGTTGTTAGCAGTTTTATTTTCTTTACGCTAAATCCACCACTTAACTCTCAAGTCTGTCATTCTGTGGTACTCTGCATGGTGCTCTGATGCTGGAAACTATGTTGTGGGTACTTCAGATACCAGCAGGGTCACCCATGGTGGGCAGGCTTCAGCAGATGTTCCAGACTAAGATGAGGAGGAAAGCCCTGGCGACCTACTTTTGAAAACCGTTTGGGGTGGCCAACTATCTGGGGCAGGAGAGCTAGAATTCGAACGCAGATCTGTCTGAGAAAACCCATCAAGTGCATGGGAAGGGCAGGTGGCAGGAACTGTCCATGGAACCACTCTGTCTGAGGTAGAATGGGGGGCCCAGAACGCTCAGTTCTGCTCTCTTGTCACCAGTCAGGTTGTCCTGTGCCCAGGGGACAGCCGAGGGGGTCTGTGAGCAGAGGTGGGGCTTGTGCACCAGTGGATTAAGGGAGAGGAACAGGCCATGCGGGGATAGGGGTGTGAGACTGGAGGGGAAGAGACTTGTGCATTGTTTGCATGCTATTTGCATATCATTCACCCCTTCTGTTGCTCCCCAATGTGGGGACCTGACGGACGGACGGATGACCCTGTGGCACAAATAACACAGACACTACGGCTCCAGAGGCCAAAAGGTCTGCCACCTCTTACAGGCAGCCCCTCTGGGTTAGTCAGCTCAGCAGCAGCAGTAAGAAGGGTTCATGCTCACACACGTGCAAGGGCAGGGAGAGAGGGGGGCACCTGTCTGGGGTCGGTCCCACAATAAGGGGGCGCCCGCCGCAGCACGGCCTTGCTGCCCCCTGGAGCGTAAGCAGAGTTCACCCAGGAGTGCGAGCGGTCGATGCCCTGCAGACACATGGACAAGTGGCGGAATCCACAGGTAGGGGGTACTCAGCATAGAACACCAAGCACAGATCACCCCAGGGCACCCTGACATCCTGGAAAGTGTGTGTGCATGGGTGTGCACGGGCACGTGTATACGAGGTGCCCCTGCTGAACCAAGCATCCTGCCACCCACCCTGGGCTGCCACAAGGCGGACAGCCCTGTGCAAAGTCACAGCCCCCGTCCCTGTGTGACTGCCACCGCTGTCCCAGTGGCCGCTGTCCAGTCTCGCTGCATGCCGACAGGCTACCTTCTCCACTCTCCTGTCAATGGTAAATATCAGTCATCTGCCCACGTGGCTGCCATGGCCACTGAGCTGAGCCTCCAGGGGCCCCCTCCCCTACCTTGCTGGCCAGGATGCGGGAGACCTCGTCGTCCACAGAGCCAGGGGCACCGGCCAGGTCGGGGTTGCTGCTGCTGATGCTCTTTGAGCGGGCCAGGTAGAGACTCGAGGGGCGGCCAGAGCCACGAGCCAGGGTGGCGGGCTGTACAGTCACTGGAGGGGTCCCTGGAGTGGGAGGAAAACGGTCAGCCACCTCCAACCCGGCTGAGGCAGCACCAGCCCCTTCCCAGCTGGCTATTACTTTCCTTCTTGGAGCCTCCAGCTTCCTCATCTGTGAAATGGGCTTGATGACGTTTCTCTAATGCTCACAGGTATTAGGAAAAGTGAGACATTGAGAACAGTGGTTGGCACACAGGAAGGACCCAGAGAGGTGAGTGGTTATTGTTGTTAATTGCCATCGAGTTGTAGGCAACTCATAGCGACCCTATGAACGAAAGTCCTGGACACCTGTGTAACTTCCGTCCTTTCTCCAGGTTCATAGAGTTTCCAGAGGCAAGCTATTACAGAAGTGGATGCCACTCCTGCTTCCAAGCTTGTTTTAATTGGGGAGCTCCACCCAACACTGTCCAGCATGGGTAACCATTCTCACATTTGACACATCAGTGCCACAGTGTTCGGCTTCACAGGAACCACGAGTTACCTCTGTACGGCAAGTGGACATACCAGGAGTTATACAACCTAGTAGAATGTTTCACCAAAAACAATTAAAGGCAGGCCTGAGGGCCGCGGAGTAGAGTCACCCACCTTTGGCCCGGGAGCATGGCTTTCTGTCCGCTAGCCCAACTGCTCTCTCTCCCTCTATGCTATTGGTGTTGTTGGTAAGTGCGGTCAAGCCATAGGTAACTCATAGCGACCCTATGAATGAAAGTCCTGGACACCTGTATAACTTCTGTCCTTTCTCAAGGTTCATAGGGTTTCCAGAGGCAAGCTATTATGGAAGTGGATGCCACTCCTGCTTCCAATTCAGCAAATCAACAGATCTCAGCTTTATTGCAAGCTCAGTGCGTGCCAAGCATTTAGCACTGGTTATATGTGTTCAGGGCTTTTGTTCACAGGGTTGCTATGAGTCGTGTACGGATTCCACAGAACTTAACAACAACAACAACTGTGTCATTAGGAGCTGTCACCTGGGAGCTCTGGTGGCCTCTGGTAAGAAGGTCCACTGTAATTCTAAAGGCATGCAGTTCGAATATACCAGTTGCTCCACAGGAGAAGGACAGGCAATCATCTCCTGTGTAATTAACTGCCTCTGAAAACCCTCTCGAGGGTCAGCTGTGGACTGGATCTGACTCAAAGGCATACGACATCAACAACAACAACAACAACAACAACAACAACAACAACAACAACAACAACAACTGTGTCAGAAGGGAGCTCTGGTGGCTGTGTGGTAAGGAACTGTGTTGCCTGTGCAAAAATAAACAGTTCCAATTGACCAGCTGCTCCAAGGAAGAAAGACGGGCGATCTTCTCCTGTGTGATTTTCTGTCTCCAGAAACTTGCCTGAGGGTCAGCTGTGAGCTGGTTCTGACTCGATGGTACACAACAACTGTGTCCTAGAGAACAGCATGGTGTCCCTGGTGGTACCGCATCCCCCAGGTGGCACACATGGTTAAAAGTCCGTCTCTGACGAAGCACTGAACAGCTAATCAGGGAAACCAACGAGAAACCCAGAAACAGATCTTCACAGAGCACCAAGCAGGCAGTAACAAGCTCCGGTGGCTTGGCGGTAAGGTGCTGCACTGCCAACCCAATGGCACTCAGTTCAAATCCACCAGCTTCTCTGGGAGAGAACAATGGACAATCTCTTCCTGTGTAATTTACTGCCTCTACAAACCCACCGAGGGTCAGCTGTGGGTCAGTCTCCACTTGATGGTACACAACAACTACCAGGGAGGGTGGATGCAGAGAGCGTGCTAAGTGAGAGGTGGGAGGTCTGAGTCCCTTGAGTTACCTTGGAAAAAAGGCCTGGTGACCCGAAAACCCAGCCACTAAAAGAACCCTATGGCGCCAGGGGTCGGGGTAGACTTGACACCAATTGTTTGATATTATTTTGTTGTTGTTGTTGTTACATGTCGTCAAGTTGCTTGTGACTCATAGTGACCCTATGTATAAGAGCCCTAAACCCTGCCCTATCCTGTGCCAACCTCGCCGTCTCCGACACACTCACTTCCACCACCCCAATCACAGAATTGATCCATCTCATTGAGGGTCTTCCTCTCCTGCGCCACCCCTCCACTCTTCCAAACATGATATCCCTCTCCAAGAACCAGTCCCTTCTTGCAACATGCCCAAAGTATGTCAGACAAAGCTTCAGAATCCTTGACTCCAAGGAGCATTCTGGCTTACCCCTCTCCAGGAGAAACCTGTTCTCCCAGCGGTCCATGGTATATTCAACACTCTTCTCCAGCAAAACAGCTCAAAGGCATTAATTCTCTATCATCCCTAGTCACTGTCCAACTCTGATGCATAGCACGTAATTGCGAAGACTATAGCCTGGATCAGGTGCACCTTAGTCTCCAGCCTGATGTCATTGCTCTTCAGTACTCTGGAGAGGTCCCTGACTGTTGCCTTTCCCAGTGCAATTTGTCTCTTGATTTCCTGGCTGCTGGTACCAGGAGTATGGACTATGGAGAATCAGTGCCCAGAGGCCCATCGCTTGCTCAGGGTCATAGGAGGCAGAGCTGAGATTTAAATTCAGCAGCCCAGCTTGCCTCTCTGCTCCAGGCTCTGCCCAAGGTGCTTGCTGACTGCCTCAGCTTCCTAACATACAAGCACGTAGAGAACACAGCCCTCTGAGGGGCATGAGCCAAACTGAAACTGAACGAAATGAAAGCTCTTTCAAGCAGCCCAAACACACCACAGCCTCAGGGCCTCTGTGCATGGTGTTCCCTCTTCTAGATATTTCTTGCTCCCTCACCCCAGCCTCTGACCGAAACTCACCGCTCAGGGAGCCGGGCTCGGTGCCAGGCAGGCGGAAGGCATAGTGGACATAGGCAGCCAGCAGTGGGCAGTGACCTCGGGCGTCCTGGGCAGTCTCTAGGCTCCGGTGGACAAGGCTGACCACATGGGCCATCGCTTCAAACGCGCCTCGGCCCAGGTTCACTGCAGGGCAAAGTAGAGGTGGAGCTGTAGGGCCAAAGGTCTCCTGCCTTCCCACCCATTTCCCAGAGGAAGAGACAGAGGATCTGGGAGTCATGTAGTCATCCGGGGATCACTCAGAACCTGCTCTGGGCCCAGGGGACTTAAGGGACATTTTCCAGATAGTGAAACTGAGGTCAGAGAGATTATAGGAGGTTATCTGGGACCAAGGGACTGAGGGACCATTTTCCAGACAGGAGATGGAGGCCAGAGAGATGAAGGGCTGTGGGAAGTCAACTAAGACCAGGGGACTGAGGGGCCCCTTTCCAGATGGGAAAACCGAGGCCACGCTGGCTCACCGATCTGGCCGCCGATGATGGGAGGCCGCACGACCAGCTGCACCAGCTTGTCCAGCACGTGGTGGGAGAAGGCTACCAGGGGCTCGGGGCTGGCCAGGCGCAGAGCAGTGAGGCTGGCACGCAGCTCCTGCTCCACCGTGCCCTCGCTCAGGACGGCATCCTTGAGGCGGAACGGGAAGGTCCCCTCCTCCAGGACGTGCACCAGCGTGAAGAACTTATCCAGATGCGGGTCCTGGGGAAGGGCTGGGGTGAGCGGGGCAGGGCCAGGGCCCTGGGGCAGTCACGTCTCAGGGGGAAACAGTGGGCAGAGACCCCACAGCAGAATGGGCATGACAAGGGACCAATGGGGAAAGGGACATACAATAAAGGAAGGAACAAGAATGAGTGACAGGGACTAACAGGCTGGCTGGTAACACAAGGCCCAAGCCCAGATGAGGTGACCGTGGCCCGGCCGCCCCCGCCTGAGTCAGCAGCTTCCCCCCAGCATCCGGGCCAGGCTGACCAAAGTCACGTCCACAGCCGAGACCAGGCTCTTCTGGCCAAGTGGGAACTGTTGCCCAATCCCTGGTGGGCCAGGAGGGGTGCTAGTTCGCAAGGCAGGGCTCCTGGGTCCCCATACCTGGGGGTGCACAGATGACACAGCTGTGAGCGCCACACTGAATACGCCCTTGTGACCATCCACCCAGCGCATGCCCGGCAGCGCCACCTGCAGGAGGGAGGCACTGAGTGACCACCACCCTGCCCTCACCAGCTGCTGGTCACACCACCAGGCCCAGACATTGCGACACACTGGCAGCCAGAGCTCGCCAGCCAGCTGGGGGTGGGGAGCAGTCCAGACACAAGGCAGAGGGAGCTCGCATTCACGGGGTCCACTGGGCAGGCTGGACACACAGGGTGATGATGGGGGGGAGGAGATAAGCTGGGAGATCATTTAGTGGGGGCAGGAAGTGGGTGGGTGGGGTGCAAATGGGGGTGATAAGGCAGGTCCGGGAATGCTGGGGTGGTGGTGGGAGACCGAAATTAGGAGGTGTGGGAGCTAAGAGCCACACCCTGGACAGGATAGAGTATGGAGAGGCAGAGGAGGAGAGCTGGCCGAGGCCAGGAGGGGACACTAACGCAGACTGTAGAAGACAGGCACCAATAAGGGACAAGGGGCAGCGACCAGACTCCCAGGGCCTTAGGGGTGACAGGCTGACAGACATGAGAAGCACCAAGAGGGGTCGGTCAGGGGGTGCACTGAAGGGGCCACGAGCAGGAAGGTGGGGAGCACGGTGGGGGGACGGCAAGTTGGGGGCAGAGCCTGGCACGTACGTCGGGGGTCAGCATGGAGTAGCTGGGTGGGGGCCGGTCCACGGACACGGGCAGGCAGAAGGGGCCAGTCCTCAGGCGGCCGTGCTGCAGCAGGGGTATCCACTGGGGAGGGGGAGAAGCAGTCAGCTTGGGCCGAACTGGGGGACTGGCTGGGGGTCAGTCACAGTGGAACTGGGGCTGGGTAGGGGTCAGCTCAAGCTCTGTGTGTATGTGTGTGTGTGTGTGTTAAAGTCAGCAAGGCAAGGGCTGGGGCCTTGCCAGAGCCGGGTGGGGGTTCTGGGTGGGAGTCAGCTGGGCGTGAGAGTTAGCCAGGGCAGGGACGGGGGCTGGCAGGGGTCATTTCGGACCTTGTTAGAGCTGGGTGGGGGGGTTTGGAGAGGGGTCAGCTCAGGCTGGGCAGGGTGTACATGGGGCTTTAGGCAGGGCAGGGCTGGGGGCCAGTAGGGGTTGTTTCAGGCCTTGTCAGAGACAGGCGGGGGGCGGGGGTGTGTCTGGGCAGGGGTGAGCTTGGGCTGGGTGGGATGTATGTAGGAGTTAGCCAGGGCAGGGCTGGGCCTGGCAGGCGTCAGAGTGGGCCTTGTTAGAGCTGGGTTGGGGGCCTGGCAGAGGTCAGTGTGGACCTTGTTAGAGCCTGGTTGGGGGCCTGGCAGGGGTCAGTGTTGGCCTTGCTAGAGTCGGGTTGGGGGCCTGGCAGGGGTCAGTGTTGGCCTTGCTAGAGTCGGATTGGGGGCCTGGCAGGGGTCAGCGTGGGCCTTGTTAGAGCCAGGTTGGGGGCCTGGCAGGGGTCAGTGTGGGCCTTGTTAGAGATGGGTTGGGGGCGTGGGCCTTGCTAGAGTCGGGTTGGGGGCCTGGCAGGGGTCAGCGTGGGCCTTGCTAGAGCTGGGTTGGGGGCCTGACGGGTCAGCCTGGCTGGGCTCTCACGGTGAAGCCCACGGGTGTCTCCAGGGCCGTGCCGGGCCGTGGCTGGCAGCTGATGTGGTAGAAGGTGAAGAGCAGATGGTGGTTGTCGGTCACACAGGCTGGAAGACGCAGCTTGAACTCTTCATAAAACTCGGGGGACCTGGTCAGACCAATGGGTGGGCTTTGCTCAGGCCTGAGCTGTCCCACAGATCCCTTGTTTGGGCTCCAGGCCTGTATAGCTCCCAGCTTTCCCATGGCCCCGTCCCCCCATCCCCGCCTGCCGGAGCCCGGGAAGCTGCCCACGCACTTGTTGTGGTAGATGACCGGGGTGAAGGCCTCGCGCACAAACTCGCTGCAGCTGGACTTGCCAAAGATGACCTGGGCACAGTGGGGGGCGGGGAACGACGATGGGTCATTCAGGGCCCCTGGGACTCCCCCCACACTGCCCCCCGGGGCAGCCACTGACCGGCAGGGCCTGGCTGGGGTCCTCGCCCACCATGTACTGCACGCGCACGGCCAGGTTGCGCACGGAACCCTGGCGGCTGCTTAGGTTGAGGCTGTGTGGGTGCACGTAAAGCAGGTTCCTGTGGATGGACGGTGGGGGGTCAGAGGACACACAGGCGCCCTGCTTGGGCACCCCCAAAACAAGCTTGGCCTGGGCACAGAGTTGGGGAAAGGGGGCCAGACATGGAGGGCCAGGACACCTGACTAACAAAGTGATCAGTTAAGCACCTGGAGACATGGGGGGGGGGCCACAGGAACCTGGGAGTCTGGGGTGGGAGTTGGGAGAGCAGGAACAGATGGACACGTTGGGAGTTCTCGCCAAACAGATGGTGAGGCCAGGAGCGGCCAGGGACAAAATGCCAAGAAGAGATGCAGGTGGCCAGTGGTCAGGTCTGCTGCTCCCCCCTACCTCCAAGGCTGGCCTGTCCCTCACCAGGCCCCAGGGGCATGAATGCCCGTCCCAGGAGGCCGCAGGGCTATCTGGCCTGTCCTGACACTGGGGTCAGGGAGAGGAGCCAGCGTCAGAGTCCTGCCCCTTGGGGCAGCTCTGCGTAAGTCTCGGCCTCCCTCTGCGCCTCAGTTTCTCTCTGTGACGGAGGCACTGCACCTTCCAGTGGAGGAACAACGGTAACCACGTCAAACACTTATATGGCACCTGCTGTCTACCAGGTCCCCTTCTAAGCACTGACATGACATAATTCACGAAATTCTCACCAGTCCTACCACATTGGCTCCGTTTGCAGATGCGGAAGCAGAGGCACAAGCCCACAGGCATTCTGGGAGGGACATGTCAGTCATCTGGGGAATGTGTGGCCCCAGGTCAGGCTGGGCGGCCTCCCTCAAGGCTCTGCCACCCGCACCTCTTCCCTGGTTGCTAGTTATGCTCAGAGGCCCAAGCATGTGTCTCTGCGGAGGCCTGACACTGTGCTGGAGGCCAGAAAAGAGCTACGCAAACAGCTGGTGCTCAGATAGTTGTGCCCCACTGTTACGAGCATTACTGTTGACGTGCCTCCCAGCACGTAGGGAAACCAAGGCTCAGTGTGGTGGGGTTGAAGCTGAGCCATCCTGTCCGCCTGATTCGCCCCCACCTGGCCCTGAGCCCTGGGCAGCGTGATCCCAGCATGTCCCGACCGGAAGCTGGCCTGATGCAACGGTAACATCACTGCCAGGCACTTGCACAACTGGGGCAGCCAGTTAACGATTGACTGGGGGTTAAGGGGGTGACAGGCCATAAAAGGCAGCAGTGGTGACACTGTGGCCGCAGCCCAGACCTTCAGGATGGCCATGCACGCTCTGTGCCTGCTGTGGACCTTGGTGGCGGCGGCGCGGCCTCTCGTGGCAGCCCCCACGGGCGGCCCTGAACCGGCGCAGTACGAGGAGCTGACTCTGCTATTCCACGGAGCCCTGCAGCTGGGCCAGGCCCTCAATGGCGTGTACAAGACCACGGAGGCCCGGCTGACGGAGGCTGAACGCAGCCTGGGCCTCTACGGCCACGTACTGGAGCTCCTGGGGCAGGAGGTCCACCAGGGCCGGGCTGAGGCCCAGAAACTGCACACAAGCCTCTCGCAGATACAGGTGGGCACTGGAGCTGGGACGCTGTGGGGTAGGGAGGGGTCTGCCTGACCACCCCAGTTTGCCAAGGGCTGAGGGAGTGACAGCACAGGTGGCTTCCACTGATAACCCTGGGGTGCCCCTGGGCAAGCGTGAACTGGTCGCCCCCCTGATGTGGCTCATCTGTCGAGCAGACGGAGGAGAATGTGCTGGAGGTGCAGGCGGAAGCCATGGCCCAGGCCCTGGAGGAGGTGGCGCAGAAACAGCAGGAGCTGTGGGGAAGGCTGCGGCAGCTAGAAGTCCGCTTGCGGGGTGCCTGGCTGGGCCCTGCCCACCACGAATTTAAGGCCTTAAAGGTAAGTGGCTCCCAGTGTTGGATGGGGCTGTGACCTTGATCCCTGGCCTGAACTTGCTTTTGCACTTGAATCCTAGAGACCCTTTGGCCAGCCTCCTGGCTCCACAGCCTCTACCCGAAGTGGTTCTAGGCAGAAACCACCTCCCATTCTATGCCTCAGTCTCCCCATTTGCAAATAAGTGTTCAGAGCAAAGCCAGGAACTCTGTGAGAGGAGTTACTCGGGGCGCGGGAACGCAGGGGGCGCTCAATGCAGGCTGCTTGCTAGCTTAACTGCTAATGCTTATTTAGAGTCCAGTAAGGAACAAGCCCTTTAACGCCTCCTATCGCCTATGATCCTCACAACTTCTTGAGGAGAGGACTACTGTATCCCCATTTTACAGACGAGGAAGTTGAGGCCACAGAGGGTCTGATTTGTTGGCTCACACAGCGGCAGTGGGGGACCCTGGGCAGGGTGGGGCCTGAAGGGTGGAGGCCCTGGTGGAGCCCTGGGGATGACCTGCTTCTGACCCAAAGTTCAGTGGTTCAAATCCACCAGTAGCTCCATGGAGAAGAGGAAACAATCTTTTCCTGTAAAGACTGTGGTCTTGTAAACTCTACGGGGAAGTTCTAGTTTGTCTATAGGGTCAGAGTCGGAATCCAGACAGGGACCCAACGACAATGGTTACAGTTTTGGCTGGGGTGAGATGAGGACGTGGGTCAGGAGGCGGCCTCAGCTCAGGTCTCCGTCCCATCCCCGCAGGAGCGCGCTGACAAGCAGAGTTACGTAGTGTGGGCCCTGACGGGCCTCATACGACGCCAGCAGCGGGAGATGGCAGCGCAGCAGGAAAGGCTGCGGAGTATCCAGGAGAGGTGAGCTGGAAGGGGGGGCTGCCTCAGGTGGGCACCTGGAGGGGCTGCTGGAGGGGCTGGTGGGTGGGCCACCCTGCTTGGTTGGCTGAGACACCTCTCCTCCCCAGACTCCACACGGCAGCGCTCCCCGCCTGAGCCCACCCGGGTGAGATGAGGACCAGACATGCAGCCAGGGACACGTTTCTGCAGCTCCGAGAAGGCCCGGTGCAGGGAGGCACTGCCCTCCGATGGGCTCAGCCAGGACGCCGGGCCCTGCATCCAGCCACAGAGAGAGAGTGAAGCAGGCGGGGACACAGGCAGAGGGCAAGGTCCCGTCAGGACCCGTCAGGACGGAGGGGCAGAAGAAGGACACACGCCCCTCGATGGCCACACGAGCTCAATAAAGCAGTGATGACATGGACCGGTGTCTGTGTGCTCAGGGGGCCTACCTGTAGCTGGTGTGGGGGGCGTAGACCTCCCGGGCAGGGAACTCCAGGATCTCCTTGGTGGGCCGGCCCCGGGGATCCGGGTAGGGTTTGATGTGCAGCAGCTCCGGGGAGAGGCAGAAGTGGGGGTTCTCGGGGGCCGGGGAGATGTCAATCTTGAGCTGGGCTGGGGACAGCGAGCCAATTGGTACTGGCCTGAGACCCCGGGTGCTGGGGCCTCCCAGCTGGGCCTTCTCGCTGGACTGCCTCTCCCTCCTTCCAAAGCCAGGCCCCACATTTGACCACTCTGCACCCAGGGCCCACCCAGCCTCTCTGTCACTACGTCCACCATCTGATCCACCCTCTGTCCGTTTGTTCCTGAGTGGTGGCCTGCATGTGGCTGTGATGTTGGAAGCTGTGTTACCAGTATTTCAAATACCAGCAGGGTCAACCACGGTGGTCAGGTTTCAGTTGAGCTTCTAGATTAAGACAGACTAGGAAACAGGACTGGAGACCCACTTCTGAAACAATGAACCCTCAAAACACTAATAATAATAATAATAATAAATAGTGTCATCTGATATAGCACCAAAGATGAGCCCTGTGTCTCCTGTGTCCCCACTGGAAGGCCCACCGAGGTCACCACCGGTGCACATGCTGCATACTGAGTGCTTCATGGGTCACTTACCAGTCACTGGCCGCAGACGACGAAGCAGGGAGGAGGGGCGCCGCATATCCGCTAGGAACTTGAAGAGGTCCTCATCGCTGAGCCGCTCGGCCTCCTGCAATGGCCTGTCCCCGTGAGCCTTGGTGAGGGGCCCTGGGGTGCCCCCAGCCCCCTGTCCACGGCCACACACCTGCTTAAAGAAGTTGGTGACGGTCAGTGTGGCTGGGCGGAAGCCAGAGAAGCTGCAGGCATCGTCCCCGCTGCTCGCTCGGTCCTGGGGCCCCCGGCGGCGGCGGTCAGTCCAGGCAGGTCGTCGCTCTAGGGGATCCAGTGGCAGAGGGCAGATGAGAGGGACAGACAGACAGGGCGGGACCTTGTATTAAATGCAGCCACTAGAGGGCGCTCTCCGTCTCCCGCTGCCACTTTGCCCTAAGAGGCCTGGTGGTGCAGTGAGTTAAATGCTGGGCTGTGAACCAGAAGGTTGGTGGTGTTCATACCACAGCAAAGATGAAGTAGCCTGTTCCTATAAAAATTTACAACTCTGGAAATCCCATGGGGCAGTTCTACTGTCCTGTGGGGTCACTATTTGGGATGGACCTGAGGGCAGTGGGTGGAGGAAGTCTGCAGCCACTGAAGGGTCTAAATGCTTATCACACTCAGCTGCTGAGAGCTTGGAATCCACAGGAAGGCCCCTCAGAAGAAAGACCTGGTTACCTGCTGCCAAGAAATCAGCCACTAAAACCCCTCGGGGTGCTCGGGCGGCATAGTGGTGAGGAGTAACACAGCCAACCCAAAGGCACCTGGTTCGAATCCACCAGCTGTTCTGAGGTGGAAAGACGGAAATTTCCTCCTGTGCAATTTACAGCCTCTAACGCTACGCTCGAGGGTCAGCTGTGGGCGAGCACACAACAACAACAACAACATCCCCTCCATGGAGCCCTAGAGGTTGTATTGTGTGTCAGGCTCCTAATCCCAGACCCTCAACAGCTGTGAGAGAAAAATGGGACAGTCTCCTCCCATAAAGATTTACAGCCTTAAAATCGTGATGTCAGAACTGACAAAATGGCAGGGGGTTTGGGTTTTTAAAAACCCTAAGGACCGTCACGAGAACAAACAGGTCTGTCTTGGAGAAGGTGAAACCAAGTCTCTCCTGGGAGGCTGGATTTTGGAGCTCTGTCTCACAGACTTTGGGCACGTGGCCAGGAGGGCCCGGTCCTTGGAGAAGGACATCACGTTTCGAAGGGTGGAAGGGAAACCCTGGATGAGGTGGACTGACACACGGCAACTGGGGAATTGGGGGTAGGAGTCAGAGTCAGAGACTGGCTCAGGGTAGGGCAGGGTGCAGAGCTGCTGTACACAGGGTCGCTATGAGCCACAGGTGATTTGATGGCATATAACAACAACAACATGGTGCATAGGGTTTTGCCTCACATACTCCAGGCATTTGTTAGCAGAGACGTTTCCTTGGAGAGGGACAGCATGCTCGGAAAGGTGGAGGGTCAGTGAAATAGAGGAAGACCCTCAACCAGGTGGACTGACATACTGACTGCCTCAAAGGGCTCTGGTGTGTCAGGAAGTGTGAGGCTGGCATAGGACAGGACAGGGTTCTATCTCACCCAGATCTTCCTCTCCTGCGCTGTCCTTCCACCCTTCTGAGCATGCCCAAAGTCGGTGAGATGGAGCTACACCCACTATGACTCTGAGAACTGTTGTTGTTATGTACCATTGAGTCACTTGCAACCCATAGTGCCCCTATGTACAGCAGCTCTGAATCTTTCCCTGTCCTGAGCCAGTCTCACTGATTCTGACACATCAACCCCCATTGCCCCAGTTTCTGTATTAATCCATCTGTGGTTCACAGGGTCACGATGGGTTGCACTCACTTAACTCGATGGCATCTCCACTCGGATGCACACAGGATTGCCCTGAGCCGGCAGACCCACCGCACCAGCTCAGGGTGTCTGTGCCCCGGGCCCCAGCGGCGCTCACCGCCCTCGGAGTCCGAGTCCCGGTCCGGCTGCCCGGCGCTGCTCACGATGTTGGCCAGGTGCACGGCTGTCCAGGCAAAGGGCATGCGGTAGCGGCCCAGGCGGGTGCAGAACTGCTCGGCCGCCAGACGCAGCTTCTCCAGCTTCTCTTTGTTCTGCAGGGAGATCCCTGGCCGCTTAGTGCCCGCCTGCCTGTAGGACGCCCGCCCACCCCCACCCCCCGGGCTGTGGGCAGCAGCTCACTTTGGCCGTGTCTGCCTCCTTCAGCACCATGTAGGGCTCGCAACACTCACTGATGTCACCTTGCTGTAGCACCTTCTCCAGCTGTAGGCAGACGGCTGTGTGAAGCCCCCTGGAGCCCCGGGGGGGCCCCCAGGCCCTCCACACCCAGGCTCCCTGCTCCAACATTTCCCTGGTTCACGCCGCCTCCCCTCCCTACAATTCCACCCAAACCCCGGATCTTTAGCAAGATTTCCCTAAAGTCACATTTCTCCACTGCATGTGGGGCCTGGGCTAGGATCCTGACCCTCTCTGTGCCTCAGTTTCCCCATCTGCAAAATGAGGATCGTGGTTTCCCCAAATCCCAGGGTTGCTATGAAGCCTGCAAGTGGGAACTCCTATGCAACCTAACTATAGGCAGTACCTGACCTTAACAGCGTAAAGTGCTCCAGGATTTATTTATTTATTTTTTTAATGCTCCATTATCATAAGCCAACTTAACCTTTGGGAAAAGGGAACTGGACCTCACTCATGGAAATCCCAAATGATTGTGTCAACTCGGTCTTCCTCCCCCATAGCCAGAAAATCTCAACTTAGAAAACAAACATTTTAGATCTCAGTTCAAACAGTCCCTCCCCATGGTCTTGGCCCAGCTGTCACCTCTTCATGGAGGGCTTCCGTGATTCCTCCACCCTGGGTTGGATCAGGGGCCTCCTCTGGGTCCCCCTCGCTGCCTGTGACCCCCAACACAGCCCTGACCACCCATCCTGGCACCCCTCTGACCAGCCCCAGCGGGCACCTTGATGACCAGAAAGATGTCAGGTGAGGGGTAGGTCACAGAGAAGATGGCCGAGCGGGCCAGCGTGGAGATGGCAGGGTGGGTGCCGTGCGCCCGCAGCAGCGCCTTTGTGGAGTCCGAGTTCAGGTCAAAGTAGAAGTTCTCTGAGATCTGAGGGCAGGGGAGGAAGAGGGGACAGTCAGGGCACCACCTCCAGGAAGCCCAGAGCACCCCCTAAGGACAAAGAAGAACTGGGGGAGGGAAGGCGATCCCTACCTTCTTTTTCTCACGTACATCATACAGGGCCAAGATCCCAAAGATGGGCTCAATTTCAATCTCGAACCTGTGGGGGAAAGGGGGTCTGGCAGAGGCTCCCTAACTCCACAGCCCACAGCCCGGCTCTGAGGCCCCAGCCCAGCGCTGGGGCACAGTGTGGGCGGATCCCATCAGACCATGTGGAACCATCTATGTGGTACTGACTGGGGCAGCTTTCAGCTCAATGATCCCTCACCTTCAAGGACTCACTGCTGGGCCTCCTATTACCCCCTCCAAGGCACCATCATTGCCATTAGGGCCGAAGCTTGACTCTGCTTCTCTGAGTGGCCACATACCCACCAGCCTGCCATGCCCTGCCTCCTGGCCCCTAGTTACTGCACACATCCTGCTGAAGCAGCCAGAAGCTGGAGGCCCTCACTGCCCTGGGAACCAAGTCCTGCACCTTTCCCTACTGCAGATGGCCTTAAAGGCACAAACACGCAGGTCTCCCGGCCCGTACAGGTCTCCCGGCCCGTATCGGTCTCCCGGCCCATACTGGTCTCCCGGCCTGCATGCATTGTGACCCTCATCTAGATAGAAGGGTGCTCACCCCTTCTCCTTGGGTCCTAGCTTCACCACGCCTCCCCTGACTCCCACCCAGCACCCAGAGCCTCTCCCATCTCTGCCCTTTGATGTCATCACAGGTATGGGTGGGTTCTGTACACAGCCGCGCTCCACGTGTGTTTGTTGAATGACTAGATGAGTCCAGAGCCGCTTCCTGACCCCTGTGCTTGAGGCAGGGGGCCCACCTGGGCCTCAGGCCAGAGCGGAACCTCCCCTTCCTGCCTCCATCCATCCGGCAGGAGCTCAGGGAGGGAGGGGCTGGGCAGGCTCCAGTCCAAGACCACATCCTGTTCAGCTCGGTTCCCACGCACTCTCGCTGCTCCCAGGAGGCTGACACGGAGGGGGCCTCGGGCGGCTGGAAGCCAGGCACTCCTCCACCCTGGTCAGGGCTCAAGCTCACACTATTTCTGGGTACAGAGACTTCCTGGTCCATGCCTCAGTTTCCCCACCTACACTCATACCACAGAATCTCAGCTGGGATTCAAGCTGATCTACACACAGGGTGGAGAATAGTCAGCATTTAATGGCCAGTGAATTTGAGGATGAAAAGGGAAGGTTCTTCCCCTGTGAAATCCCACGGGTGTCCTTGGGTCTTAGGGCTGCACACGGTAATGACAAGTGTGCACCCAGCCCTGCAAGGCACACGTGATCAGGGGAGGGGCGGCCAGCTCTACTCACTTGAGTGACAGACACTTGACCAGGATCCTCTGTCCAAAGTGCTCTCGGGGTGGCTCCGGGCGGCTGCAGCGTTCCACGGCCTCATCCTGCCAAGAGTCAGTGGGGACAGCTGGGGCCCTCCCTCCAGGAGGGGGATGCCAGCCAGAGGTCGGCTCTACCTGCAGTCAGGCTGGACTCTGGCCCCCACCTCTGAGTCATCGTATGTGCCATTCCCCCAGCCCAGATGCTCTTCCTCCTCCTCTACTCAATGCCTGCTCATCTCCCAGGTCACGGCTTAGTCGTAACTTCCTCCAGGAAGCCTTTCCTGATCTCAGGCCTCTCCTCAAGGTGCTCACAATGCCCTGGGCGCCCACCTCCTGGCTCATCTCAACAGCAGCATTTCTCCTCTGGTAGACTGTGAGCTCTGTGAGGGCAGAGACAGGCCCATTTTGCTCCCAGTGCACCCCCAGCGCCCGCCCTGTTAGTTGAGTAAGTATAGAGGCAGACTCCTACTAAGAGGTGATGGCTAAGCATAGGTATACAGAAAGCATTCAAATAATGTTGCTCTGACATATAGAGAGATATACACTAGACAGCCAACAAACATTGACTGAATATACACAGAAGTATATATAGAATTGACGCCTTTGAGTTGTGGTGCTGGAGAAGAGTGTTGAACATGCCATGGACTGCCAAGAAAAGAAATAGGTCTGTCTTGGAGAGGGTAAAACCAAGATTTTCCTTGGAGGCTAGGACTTTGAAGCTCTATCTCATATACTTTAGGCACGTGGCCAGGAGGAAATGATCCTTGGAGAAGGACATCATGCTCGGAAGGGTGGAGGGACAGCGTAGGAGTGGAAGACCCCAGATGAGAAGGATTAATACAGTAACTGGCGCAATGGGGGTAGGTGAGACTGGCTCAGAGCAAGGCAGGCTTCAGAGCTATTGCACATAGGGTCACTATGAGTCGCAGGCAATTCAACAGCACTTGACACAACATATGTAGTAAGCACTCAGTAAGTGTTGGCTGAATAAAAATGGTGATATACAGTAGATGGCTAGTAAATGTTGGCTTTTAAAAAAATCATACATATATTGTTTGCTGTGTACCACAGAGTCAGAACTGACCCATAGTTAGTTTTTCAGAGGCAGTTAATTACACAGGAGGAGACTGCCCTTCCTTCTTCCAAGGAGCAAATGGTGGCCTCGAATTGTGTGCCTTCGAGATTGCAGTGCAGCTTCTTGCCCACCAGGCCTCCGCTCTGGTGGCCTAGTGGGTAAGGAGCTGTGCTTCCAACCCAAAGGCAGGCAGTTTGAATTCACCAGATGCTCTAAGGGAGAAAGGTGGTTAATTTCCTGTATAATAGCCCCCCAAACCCTGCTAGTGAGTCAGCTGTGGGCCGGTTCCCACTCAACGCCTCTAAGTCTGTTTTATATTTATATATAAACCAGGCCTTCAGGCCAAGTTCAAATTGCTTTCCTGTCAAATATTCTTCTAGGTGGTATAGCACTGGTCTGTGTATTGCTGTACAGAGGTAACTAGTGGTTGCTGTGATGCTGAAGCCTGTGACAGTGATGTGCCAATCGTGGTAATGGGCACCCATGGTGGACAGTGTTGGCTGGAGCTTCCCGACTAAAACAAGCCTGGAAGCAGGAGCGGCATCCACTTCCGAAATGGCTTGCCTCCGGAAACTCTATGTACGAACAGTGCTCAGGCCTTTCGTTCATAGGGTCGCTATGAGTCGTCTACGACTCGACGGCATTAAACAACAACAACATATATAAACCAAATCAATCCAAAGCCGTTGCCATCAAGGCGGTTCTGGTTCACATCAACCTCCATCAGGCTTTGGAAGCTGTCACTCCTGCGGGTGGAGAATGCCCATCTTTATCCCTCAGAGCAACTGATTCCAACTTCTGACCTTAAGTCAGCTCAGTACGTGACACTCGGCACCACAAGGGCTCCTTACGGGCATATGAAGGAGGTGCTCAATTAATGTGGGCATGACATACAGGAGATACACCAGGTGCTCACAAACGTGTGATTACACACAAGAACACACTGTCGGCATATAGTAAGCACTGAGTGAAGAAATTGACGCATATACAATAGGCATTTGCTAAGTAAATGTTGTCATTGTTGTGTACTGTCAACCCATAGCTGACTCTCCAGCGGGTGTTCCGAGGCTGTTAATCTCACAGGAGGAGATTACTCATCCTTCTCCCGCAAGTAAATATACTGGTATTGAATAAAAGCTACTGAATAAATATAGTTGTTGTTATGTGCCATCAAGTTGGAACTGACTCCTGTCAAGTTGACACTGACTCACAGCTGACCCCCCAGCAGGTCTCAGAGGCTGTAAATCGTATAGGAGGAGACTTGACCACCTTTCTCCTGGAGCTGCGGGTGGAGTCAAACTGCCAGTCTTTGGTGTTGGCGGTGCAACTTCTTAACCACTAGGTTACTGTACAGGGTACGTGGTAAAACAAAGCACCCTGGTGGCACAATGGTCTAGCATGCAACTGCTCACAGAAAGATTGCTGGATCGAACCCACCAGTCGCTCTGTGGGGAGAAAAGCCTTGGGATGCGAGGCTGGAAAGATACAGCCTTGGAAAACCCTCCAGGGCAGTGTCACTGGGTCATATTCAGGTCGGTATGAGTCAGAATGGACTCTATGGTAATGGGAAATGAGTCAGGATGGACTCAATGGCACCAAAACCAGCCCCAGCACAGAGAGAAACCCGCTGACTCTGCACGGACCCCAGCCCACAGGCACTGCAGGCATGTCGGAGCAGAACCATGCCTCATGGGCGTTCCCTGGCTGACTTCTCTAAAGTTCACCAGGCCTTTCTTCCAAGGTGCCTGTGGGTGGACTAGACCCACCAAGCTTTATGTGAGCTGCCAAGTATGTTAACTGCTCACACAGCCAGGCACCCAGTTAATGTCAGCCGGTCTGAGGACCGTGTGGAGTCGCAGGCACCCACCTCATCGGGTGCTGGGTAGAGGGTGAGCAGGGTGCTGGCCCGGTGCTGTCGCCTCAGGGCCTCGTTGCGCCGGTCCACGTCCTCAGGGGCCGAACGCTCCAGCAGGGAGGGCAACAGGGAGTCGGCTGCCAGGTTCCTCAGGTCGAAGATGCCGGAGGCCCCGCTGCTTCGCGGGGTGTCATCAGGGGAACTCGAACTGCGCCGGGGATCCTCCTACCAGCAGAGAAAGCACATGTATGAAGCACCAGCTGGATGCACTCCCACCCCACCTGTCCTGATGCCCATTCTGTGGATGGTGAAACTGAGGGTAAGAGGATAGGGTCAGCTCTACACAGAGCACTTGGGGACCCATTTCCAGAAATTTCTATTTAGGGACCATCTTTCATTTACCTTACAGGAGGCTACTCCTACTCCCCACATCCTGGGCTTCCTGAGACCTCTGATTGGTCACTTGGAACATGTCATCTGCAGATCCCAGGGATTGGCTCCACAGTGAGGTCACATTTGGGTGGGCCAATCAGAGCCTGCCCTGGGACTCTGCTCACTGTTACCAAGGCATTGGAGAATTCTTTCCATTGAAGCTACCGTGAGCCCAGAACTCTGATTGACCCCACACCCAGCAAGAGACAGAGCCAGAAAACCCTGGTTCAAATCCTAGAAGGGCACTGGGACCTTGAAGCTATAAATCATCATCTAAAAATAACAAAAATGGAAATATTTGCTAACCTTTGCTGATTCAGAGTAACTGCTCCACAAACGTTGATCAAAATATAGCCTCAAAAAACTAGAGATATCATCATCTCATCCCAGTAATTATAGCCAAGTTTACCAGAGCAGCAAACAGATGCTGGTGAGGATGTGGTGAGATTGAAGCCTTTATTAATTTCTGGTGGGAGTTTAAAATGGTACACCCACTATGGAAGACAGTCTCAGAAAGTTGGAAATAGAAGTATCATTTGACCCGGCAATCCCACTACTGGGAATATACCCTAAAGAAACCAGAGCCAGGACTCAAACAGATGTATGCACACCCACGTTTACTGCTGTGTTATTCACAATAGCAAAGGGATAGAAGTAACACACGTACCCACCAACAAACAAATGGATAGAAACATTATGGTATATCCACACAGTGGAATACTATGCAGCACTAAAAACAATGAACTCATAAAACCTTACACAACCTGGGGTGATTTTAGAGGATATTATGCTGAGTGAAATATCTCCGTCACAAAAGGACAAATACTACATAACATCACTGTTTATAAGGCAAGACATGGGGGTTGGGAAAACCAGGAAAAGAGTGGATAGATAACAAACACGGCATTGGAACAGAGGTGGGAAAGAACTGTTTAAAAGGAATATACGATTAGGTATTACATGTAAAACAACAGTCAGAATAGGAGGTGCATTGCAAAGTGGACGGGGTGGGGGAAGGGAGGAAAATGTGCAACAATGAATGAATAAATGAATGAAAATTCAACTTTTCTGTAAACTTCTGTTAATATCTTAATTAAAAAATACAAAAATATAGGTTCAGCAGGCCAAGAAAGCTCCTTCTATAACCTTGCTGTGTCTCAGTTTACTTATCTGTAAAATGGGTTAATCATTGTCCTGCCTTATAGGACAAAAGGAGAATAAGTGTAATCCATCTGTATGCAGTAAGCGTTTAACAAATGCACACAACCAGCAGCTTTAGCTTGTAACTCTCTAGTTCATATATATGAACTTCTGGCCTCAAAGCTTCTTTGGGTCTGTTTTGCTGTCCTGTGTGGCCAAGAGCTGGGAAGAACCCACATGCACCCCCCATGCTGACTCCCCACCAGGGATCCCTCACCGCATCCTCAGGGCCAGTCTTCTCATCCCCGGAAATGTCCTGCTCGAAGACCTGGCGGGTGAGGCCCTTCTGCCGCTCCCGCTGCGTCTCTGCGGTGATGGGGCTGTATGCCGCACTCAGATGCTGGTACCTGGGGGCGGACAGGATGGATGGAAGTGGGCTGAGGGCTCCCCGACATCATGCATTGAATTGGTGTCCCCCACAGTATATGTAATGGTACATCGTGCAAACCATGTCATAGCTGTCAGGGGATTAGAGGGGGACACAACACCCCCTAGGGAGCTCTGGTGGCACAGACCACAGGGAGTTGTACTGCCAACCCGAAGGCCACGTCTCTCTGTTGGTTCAAATCTGCAAGCAGTTCCTCAGGAGAAAGACGGGCAATCTCCTCCACTGAGATTTACACCCTCAGAAACCCAACGGAGGGTCAGCTATGAATGAGTTCCAATTCACCATCAGTAGGATGACAACATCCCTTCATCTCCTCACTGGCCTCATCTGATTGAAGGAAGCTTCTGCAGTGTGTGGACTGTTGTTGGTGCTACGTTTCTGAAAGTTGGACACTGAGTAAGGATGACAGAAGCAGCAGCAGCAGCAGCAGCAGCAATGTCTTTGTATTATGGTGTCGGAGAAGAGTACTGAGTATACTGTGGACCGTCAAAAAAAACCCCAAACAACTCTGTCTTAGAGGAAGTGAAACCAAGGCGCTCCTTAGAGACAAGGATGGTGAAACTTCGCCTTACATACTCTGGTATCACGTCAGAAGGTGCTAGTTCGGGAAAAAGCCATCATGCTGGGAAAGGCAGAAGGTGAGCAAAAGAGAGGCAGACCTCCACAAGATGGGCTGGCACGGTGATTGGCACAACGGGCGTAAGTATTAGCAGAGATCACGAGGGTGGCAGGATTTGTCACTCACAAGACTGCTCATAGCTGCAGTCAACTAAACAGCATCTCACAGGAACAGACTAAGAGGATAAATCACTGCTTGTTAAAGCCATTAGCTTGTGCTAGCTCTGTTGCAGCAACACTCGGTAACTAAGACAGGGGTCCCCGGGGGTCCCTGATGTGTTCACAAGGCCTGTGGGACCACTGCCCTTCTTGTCGCTGCCAGAGCAAGGTCAGCTGCTCCTGTAAACAGGGCTGGCCACAGACAACAGCTAGGCTCGTCCTGCGCAGAGCTGCCCTCCCGCCCCTGCAGCTGGTCAGACCCACCTCCTGTGGACGATGACCCAGTCCTCGGTGTACATCTCCACCGCGGCCCTCGCCTGGGCGTCCAGCTTTCTGTGAGAAATGAAGCCATTTCTGTGAACATTGAGGTTTCGTTTTTCCGCAGATTAGAAAGAAGTTACATGGCAGCTGTTTCTGAATCGAGTGCCTCGCCAGCCCTCTGTTAATACACTAACACAGTTTACTTGTCACAGACGGGGAAAGAGACAACCTGGGATTGGTCCTCTCAGCGGTAAGTGACGGGGAGATGGACGTGTAGAGACAAGGGGACCTGGTCAAGGTGGCAGAGCCAGGCCTGGAGATGAACTCGGGGTTCTGTTGCCGGGTGTAAAGGCTGTAGTGATGGGGGCATGGAGGCAGGGGGGGCGGCACCCACTCATCTTTGGGGGTCCCGGGCTCTGTGGTTCGGCACTCCCGGGGCTGCAGCACCAGCTCCAGGTCATCGGCTGGGAAGTCCACCAGGTCCAGCAGGGGCCCGGGCTCGGCATCCAGAGGTCGGCTCAGGAGCACGTCTTCAAAGTCCAGGGGCTCGATGACTTCAGTTAGTGGGACCTGGGTCAGAACAAAGTCGCTGGAACCTCTGCTCTGGGCTGGGAATTGGGGGACATCAGGTAGGGGTGAGACCGTGCTCGCCTCAGCCTGGAAGAGGAGGGTGGTGGGAGCCACAGAGGGGACTGGAGCTGTGGAGGGGTAAGGAGAACAGTGACCCCCATCAGGCTCCCCCACCCCCCCCCACCCCCGTGGCTGCTGTCCAGCCCCTCCTTCCAGGAGCTCCAGGCAGGAAGTCACACCCTTGTTCCTGGAGGCCAGGGAACTAATGGCGGGAGGGCAAGCATGTGGACAGGAGAAGGGTGTGGGCAGCCCTGGCTGAGATGGCCTCCCCCCAACACTGTAGCCAGAAGTATCTCCCATCCCCCCATCACCACCTGGGTGGTCTGGGTAGTGGCAGATGAGGTGACTGGTCTGGGAGCTTCTCCCCGCTGACCACCCAGAGGGCTGCCCGCCCGACAGGAAGCAGCTGCTGAGGGAAACTGCCCGCCCCCCCACGGAAACCAGAAAAGAGGAGAACACGAGGCTGGGACAGGGACCCCTTTCCTTGCGGCTTGTTAGTTCCCTGCACAGGGAGGTCACCTGTCTCCCCAGAAGACAGGTTGAACAGACAGGGAGCTGGGCCCCTGTTTGAGGGGACTCGGACACTCACCCCCCAGGGCAATGCTGTAGGGGATCCCACCTGTCAGGACACACCCCACATTCACTCCCAGGACATTGCTGCAGGGGGATCCCAGTACTCACCACCAGGACACTACTGTAGGGGTCATATCCCTGCCAGGGGGGCACCCCAATACTCACCCCCAAGACATTGCTGCAGGGGGCCCAAATCATCAAAGGACATTGCAGGGGACCCCACCACTGTCAGGGGGCACCAGGATACTCACCCCGAGAACATTGCTGTAGGGGACCCCAACCCTGCCAGGAGACCCCACCCCTGTCAAGGGACACCCTGACACCCCCAGGACACTGCTGCAAGGGGCCCTAACTCTGACAGGGACACCCCGATACTCACCACCAGGACACTGTTGTAGGGGGTCCCATCCCTATCAGGGGAAACTCCAACACTTATCCCCAGGACATTGCAGCAGGGGGCCCTAACTCCGTCAGTGGCACCCCAATTCTTACTTCCAGAACATAGCTGCCGGGGGTCCTACCCTTGTCAGGGGGTACCCTGATACATACCCCCAGGATGCTGCTGCAGCGCCTGCTGGACTGTGGGGATCCGCTGCGCTCCCGGGACACCTGCTTCCGCACCTCGGCGGCCACCGTCCTACAGACAGAGAAACCCAGGCAGTGGGTCTCGAGAACTCAGCGAGTTCAATACTCATTCCACTTGGGGAAGAACACAGACTTCGGGAGGAAAAGAAACCAGGCTGAGGACTGTAGGGTTATAGCAGGCAGCCCTGCGTCCCCACAGGTGCCTGGGGGGGCTTCTCGCAGCTCCCCCCCAAACACAGGAGCAACCACTGCTGGGTGAGCAGTCACTGACCCAGCTGGTCAACCAATCCTGCCCACAAGGAGGACCACTGACTCCTGGTCTTCCTCATGTGTGGGGGGGGGCTTTGTTGACGCTCAAAGTATCACTGCCATCCAGTCAAGGCAAACTTATAGTGGTCCCCATTTTCCTCCCTGCCCACCCCTCCCCTCAGGTTGGCTTTTTGCTTTGAAAAGAAAAGAAAAAATTCTTTCAATGTTATACAATCCACCCACAGTGCACCTTACAATGCAGCTCTTATTCTGGACTTCTGCCATGAAAATAATACCTAATCATATATTCCTTTTAAACAGTTTTCTCCCTCATTTGTTTCAATGCAGTTTACATTATTTATCCCTCCTTTTCTTAGTTTCCCCCCAACCTCGATGTCAGTCTTGTTTTTTAACAGTGGCACTATGTAGTATTTGTCCTTTTGTGACTGAGATATTTCACTCAGCATAATGTCCTCCAGGGTCCCCCATTTTGAATAATATTGCATGAGTCCACAGCTTCTCAATCCATTCGTTTGTTGATGGGCACTTGGGTTGTTTCTAACTTCTTGCTATTGTGAACAAAGCCACAGTAAACATGGGTGTGCATATGTCTACTTGGGTGGCAGTAGTGGTTTCTTTGGGGTATATTCCCAGTAGTGGAATTGCTGGGTCAAATGGTATTTCTATTTCCAACTTTTTGAGAAAGCATCATACTGCCTTCCATAGTGGTTGCACCATTTTACACTCTCACCAACAGTGAATAAGGGTTCTAGTTTCTCCACAACCTTGCCAGCATTTGTTGTTTGCTGCTCTGTTGAATTTTGCTATTGTTACTGGGGTGATAAAGCTGTAAATCTTAACAAGAGGCAACTGACATTTTTCTCCATAGGGATCACAGGTAGAGTTGAACCGCCAGAGAAGCACAGCCTTTGGGTTAACAGTGGAACACGCCAAGGACTGCGCTATCAGAGTGCCTCCTGCCTGCCCTGGGGTCCCCGAAGCTCTCTGCACCCCATCCAGCCCTCGCCACGGGGCCTTGGACGAGTCACTGCAGTGTCTCAGCCTAAGTTTCTTCACCTGCAGTCACCCTGAGCTCACAGGGATGCTGCGGGGAGCTGGGCACCGAGCCTGGCACTCAGGGGCCCTGGGAGACCATCCCACATCAGCAAGCTGCTGGCCTGCACAGCCGAGAGAAGCCGTCTTGGTGCTGCCACCTCTTTGGGCTAACTACATCTGAGCTTCTCAAGTTGGGGAGGATGAGGGTGAAGGCGTGAGATGTGCAGGGCAGGGGGATGGATCAGAAATGTAGGGCAGACCCAGACAGGCAGTGAGACAGACAGAGACAGAGAGAGAGTCAGAGCAAGAGTGCTCCAGGAAACACAAACAGCAAGTACAAAGGTCCTGAGGCAGGCAGTGCTCTGTCCACAGCGGGGGGGACATTGGGGTGACCCTCCCACATGTCTCAAATACAGGAACTAGGGCCACCCCCACAGGAGCCCAATACACAGCAGGTGCCTCACTGCCCCCCACGTCCCAACTAGGAAACACTCTCAGAGACTCACAGAGACCCTACAGGGCACAGTTGAGGAGGCTGCGCTGGGGGCTTCCTGTGTTGCAATAGAGATGGAAGGAGCTCTAGAGGATCAGTGTGTGTGTGTGTAATGTGTCCACCTGCTGGTTGAAAGGTCAAGAGTTCAAATCCACCAGTCGCTTTGAGGGAGAAAGATGGGCAGTGTCCTCCCATGAGGAGTTACAGTTCCCCAAATCCAATGAAGGGGCCCCAAGAGTCAGAACCGATGTGACAGCAGAGGGAATCCTTATGGAAAGAGATCACATCTTGCTTGGAAGTGATGCAACAGTAACAGGTTTGTTTTAAGGAGCCCTGGTGGCACAACGGATTAAGCATTAGGCTGCGAACCAAAAGGTCAGAGGTTCAAATCCACCAGCTGCTCTGTGAGAGAAAGATGAGACAGTTGTTTTTATGTGCTGTCCAGTCACCTGCAACTCAGAGCAACCCTAGTACAACAGCTCTGAAGCCTGCCCTGTCCTGAACCAGCCTCACTGACTCAGACACACCTACTCCCCCTGCCCCAGTTACTGTATCAATCCATCTCATTCAGGTCTTCTTCTCCTGTGCTGTCCCTCTACTCCTCCAGACATGATATCCTTCTCCAAGGTCTGTTCCCTCCCGGCCACATACCCAAAGTATGTGCGATGGAGTTTCAAAATCCTTGCCTCCAAGAAGAAACCTGGTTTTATCTTCTTCAGGACAGACTTACTTGGTATCTTGGAGGCCCATGGTATGTTCAATACTCTTCTCCAGCACCACAACTCAAAGACGTCAGTTCTCCTGTCATCCTTAGTTATCGACAGTACATGAGACAATGTTGTTCTTGTTATGTGCCACTGAGTCACCTGCAACATACTGACCTTATGTACAATAGCTCTGAAGCCTGACCTGCCCTGAGCCAGTCTCACTGACTCTGATACACCTACCCTCGTTGCCCCAGTTACTGTATCAATTCATCTCATCAGGGGTCTTCCTCTCTTGTGCTGTCCCTCCACCATTCTGAGCATGACGTCTTTCTCCAAGGACTGGTCTCTCCTGGACGAATGCCCAAAGTATGTGAGATGAAGCTTCAAAATCCTAGCCTCCACAAAGAACTCAAGAAATACTATACAAAATGGGTGACCCTGGAGGATATTATGCTGAGTTAAATATCTCAGTCACAAAAGGACAAATACTGCATAGTGCTACTGTTGTAAAATGGGCCTGACATCAGGGTTGGGGAGAGACAGAAAGATGGGATAAATTATGTATACTGCATTGAAACATATGAGGGAGAGAACTGTTTAAAAGGGATATGTGATTAGTATTATTGTCATGATAGGAGTCAAGAATAAAGGCTGCATAGTGGAGTGGACTTTGGGGGAGGGACAACATAACAATGAAAGTTTTTCTTTTACTTTTCAAAGAGAAGAGTGAACTAGGTGGCAGGGGTGGGCAGGGAGAAAACTGTACCAAAATGACTGAATGGAAATCCAAAGCCTCTGTAAACTTTCATTAAAATTTTGTTGTTGTTATGTGTCATCGAGTCGCTTGCGACTCATAGCGACCCTGTGCACAAGAGCCCTAAACGCCGTTCTATCCTGTGCCAACCTCGCCGTCTCAAACACACTCATTCCCACCACTCCATTCACAGAATCGATCCATCTCATCAAGGGTCTTCCTTTCCTGCGCCGTCCTTCCACTCTCCCAAACATGGTGTTCCTCTCCAAGGACCAGTCTCTCCTTGCAACATTCCTGAAGTATGTCAGATGAAGCTTCAGAATTCTTGACTCCAAAGAACATTTGGGCTTCACCCTCTCCAGGACAAACCTGTTTGTTCTTCTAGCTGTCCATGGTATATTCAACACTCTTCTCCAGCACCACAGCTCAAAGGCATCGATTCTCCTTCTATCATCCCTATTTACTGTCCAACTCTCTGATGCATAGCACATAATTGCAAAGACTATAGCCTGGATCAGGCGCACCTTAGTCTCCAGCTTGACGTCGTTGCACTTCAATACTCTTGAGAGGTCCCTCACAGCTGACTTTCCCAATGCAATTCGCCTCCTGATATCTTGGCTTCTGTTACCAAGAGTGTTGACTGTGGAACCAAGTAAACTAAAACTGTTAACATCTCAATCTCTTCACCATCCATAATGATGCTGCCAATTGGCCCAGTGGTGAGAATCTTTGTTTTCTTGATGTTGAGCTTCAATCTATATTGAAGACTGCAGTCCTTGACCTTCTTCAGCAAGCACTTCAGGTCCTCCTCAGTTTCAGCAAGCAGGGTTGTGTCATCCACATAATGCAGGTTGTTGATGATTCTTCCACCAATCCTGATGCTACATTTCTCCTCATACAGCCCAGTGTTTCGGACGATCTGTTCTGCATACAGATTGAAAAGGTATGGAGACAAAATACATCCCTGACGGACCCCTTTCTTGATTTTGAATCATCCAGTGTCTCCCTGCTCTGTTCTGACGACTGCCTCTTGGTCCAAGTATAGGTTTTGCATTAGCACAATCAAATATTCTGGGATTTCTATTCTTCTCAGAGTCAGCCATAGCTTGTTGTGATCCACACAGTCAAAAGCCTTTGCATTGTCAATGAAGCACAGATAGACATTCTTCTGGTATTCTCTGCTTTCTGTTAAGATCCATCTAACATTAGCTATACTATCTCTAGTACCACAACCTCTTCTAAATCCAGCCTGCACATCTGGCAGTTATCTGCTGATGTGCTGTTCCAGTCGTTTTTTTCAAACCCATCCAGCGGCACTTGGAAAGTCAGGCCCAACAAGCTGAAGGACACAGCCTTGAAACTGCCGTGCACAACGTGGTACTCTGCACACACGGGGTGGTCATGCGCCTGAATCTGCTCAATGGTCACAAACGACAGGAAACTCTGATAACGTTAACACTGAGCCCATGAAAGCGCATGGCTGAGGACCGAAAGCCCCAAGGTCCCTGCGTCTCCAGTGACGCGGGCGTGTGTGCTGGACCAGGGACTCTAAACACAGAGGCGGGGAGGGCAGGGCTGGCCTGACTGGGCACCTTAATCCAGACAGGCCTCTGAATTCACATCTCTAAGGGCCAAACAAAACTTGTCCATGGGGCCTGACCCGACACGGAGGGTTCTGGCTTAAGACCCCAGCCTCATTCCTCCAGCATCTTCTCTATCAGCTTGCCCAGACTCTCGCCACAGGGTGAGGGGCCTTGTTTTGGGAAATCCAAAGGGGGTTAAAAAAGGAGGATGCTGTCCTCAAATTCCTGGAGCTGGGTCCACCTCCCCCACCCCCTTGAAGGCTGTGCACACAGGCTGGGAGGTGGCTCACGAAAGACACTGGGGGACAGGGAGTGAGGCTCGCCCTGGTCCCAGCTGTTCTGCAGCTGCTGCCCCAGAGGGGGGAGAGGGGGAAGGGAGGAGGGAGGGCGGGGCCTTTGAGAGAGGTCCCCCGAAGTGGGGAACACCGAGGCCACAACACTGTGGCCACAGAAGTCAGTTTACAGACCACAGTTCCGAAATCCAGTCGGAGTCGGATCACTGTTGGTGAGACAAGGTCCCCTTGCCAAGTGCAGGGCCTGGCATGGCACTGGCAGGGACCACTGAGTCAGCTCCAGCACACCAGGTTTCTAAGGGAGTCCTAGTGGCTTGTTCCGTGCCATCCAGTCAACCATGACTCACAGCGACCCCATGCACAGTTTCTCTGAACCCTGCTCTTTCCTGAGCCAATCTCTTTGTCTCAGACACACTTACCCTCTTTATCCCAGTTACTGTGCCAATCCATCTCCTGCACCGTCCCTCCACCCTTCCAAGCATGATGTCCCTCTCCAAGGACTGGTCCCTCCTGGCAACATGCCCAAAGTATGTGAGATGGAGCTTCAAAATCCTTGCCTCCCAGGAGCAGCTTGGCTTTACTCTCTCTAGGACAGACCTGTTCATTCTCTTGACATGCCACGGTATGATCAAGACTCTTCTCCAGTACCACGACTCAAAGGCACCAATTCTTCTTCTGTCATCCTTAGTCAATGTCCACCACTCTGATGCATACTAAGTAACTGTGAAGACCATGGCCTGGATCAGGGGCACCTTAGTCTCTAAACTGACATCGTTGCTCTTTAGCACTCTGGTGAGGTCCTGACAGCAGATTTTCCTAATGCAATTCGTCTGGTGGCTTAGTGGTAAGGAATGATGGCAGTGGTTTGAGTTCACCAGCGGCTCCGCACAAGGACATTCAATTGCATCAAGCGATTTTACAGCCTCTGAAAATCCGCAGGATGGTCAGCTACGAGTCGGTTGCAAGTCGACAGCACACTGACAGCAGCAAAACGGGACAACAGAGTGAAACCTGGCTCAGGTCCGTGCCGTCTTCACCGTATCACTGCTATGCTGAGGCTACTGTTACAGCCACCACATTGATCTGTCTCATTGAGGGTCTTTCTCTTTTTCACTGACCCTCTGACTTTACCAGATATGATGTCTCCCTGAACTGGTCCCTCCTGGTGACATGGCCAAAGCAGGATGCCTCACCATCTTCACTTCTTTTTTAAAAATATTGAGATTTTAATGAAAGTTTATAGAGAACTTGGATTTCCATTCATTCATTGTTACACATTTTCCTCCCTGCCCATCCCCCTTCCAGTCAGCTTTTCTCCTTGAAAAAAAAGCTTTCATTGTTGTACAATCAATCCCCTCCCAACTCTAGTCTTCTTTACTATGCAGCTCTTATTCTGGATTGTTCTCATGCAAATAATACCTAATCATATATTTCCTTTAAGCAGGTCTTTCTCTTATCTGTTTCAATGCAGAGTACATTCTTTATCCCCTCTTTTCTTAGTTTCCCCCCAATCCCCATGCATTATGCAGTATTTGTCCTTTTGTGACAGAGATATTTCACTCAGGATAATGTTCTCCAGGGTCACCCATTTTGATTATTATTGCATGAGTTCCTTGTTTTTCAATGCAGCATAGTATTCCACTGTGTGAATATACCACAGCTTCTCTATCCATTTGTTTGTTGATGGGCACTTGGGTTGTTTCCAACTCTTTGCTATTGTGAACAAAGCTGCAATAAACATGAATGTGCATGTATCTGCTTGGGTGGCAGTTCTGATTTCTTTAGGGTATATTCCCAGTAGTGGAATCGCTGGGTCAAATGGTATTTCTATTTCCAACTTTTTGAGAAAGCACCACACTGCCTTCCACAGTGGTTGCACCTACACTCCCACCAACAGTGAATAAAGGTTCCAGTTTCTCCACAACCTTAGCAGCCTTTTCTGTTTGCTGTTCTCTGTTGAATTTTGCTATTCTTTCTGGGGTTAGATGATATCTCACAGCAATTTTGCACTTTTTAAAAATGAAAGTTTACAGAAAAGTTGTATTTTCATTCATTCATTCCTTGTTGTGCATTTTCCTCCCTCCACAGTTCACTTTTTTCTTTTCTTTCCCCCCTTTTACTGTCTCTCTTTTTTAACCATTCATTCATCGTTACACTATTTCCTCCCCCCTCTTATTCTGGACGCTGCCACACCATCTTCACTGCTAAGGAGCATCCTGCTGCACGTTTTTCCAAGGCAGATGGCAGTCCAAGGAATATTTACTATTTTCCCCCAACACCACAACTCAAGGGCATCAATTCTTCTTCAGTCTTCCTTATTTGTTGTCCAATTTGCATGCATATGGGGCAACTGAGAGTATAATGACTTGGATCTTTGCTTTTTAACACTTTCAAGAGGTCTTTTATAGAGAATTCATGGACCAGGAGGCAATCATCAGAACAGGGCAAGGAAACACTGCATGGTTCAAAATCAGGAAGGGCGTATGCCAGGGATGTGTCCTATCTCCATACCTTTTCAATCTATATGCGGAACACATCATCTGGGAGGCTGGGCTCTATGAGGAGAAATGTGGGGTCAGGCTTGGAGGAAGATTCATCAACAGTCTGTGTTATGCAGATGTCACAACCCTGCTTGCTGACATTGAGGAGGACCTAAAGCACTTGCTGAAGAATGTCAAGGACTGTAGCCTTCAATGCAGATTGAAGCTCAACAACAAGAAAGCAAAGATTCTCACCACTGGGACAACTGGCAGCCTTATGATAATGAAGAGATTGAGACAGTTAACAGCTTTAGTTTGCTTGGTTCCACAATCATCACTCTTGGTACCAGCATCCAAGAAATCAAAAGACGAATTGCATTGGGAAAGCCTGCTAAACTGAAGAGTAAAGAGGTCAGTCTGGAGACTAAGGTGCCCACGAGCCAGGCCATATAGTCTTCACAATTACTTGGTATGCGTCAGAAAGGTGGACAATGACTAGGGATTATAGGAGAATTGATGCCTTTGAGCTGTGGTGCTGGAGAAGAGTAACGAATACACCACGGACTGCTGGGAGAACAAACAGGTTCATCCTGGAGAGGTTGAAGCCAAGCTGCTCCTTGGAGGCAAGGATTCTGAAGCTTCATCTGACATACTTTGGGTATGTGGCCAGGAGGGACGGGTCCTTGGAGAAGGACATCATGCTTGGGAGGGTGGAGGGACGGCGCAGGAGGGGAAGACCCTCGATGAGATGGATTGATTCAGTGACTGGGGTAATTGGGATGGGTGTGTCAGACAGTGAGGCTGGCACAGGATAGAGCAGGGTTCAGAGTTGTTGTACAGAGCGTCACTATGAGTTGCAACTGACCTGACAGCACATAACAACAACAACATCTCAGGTAGTGTTGTTGAGTCGAGCAGCTTAGTGGCAAGGAGTTTCCTTGACAACCCAAAGACATGTGGTTCAAATCCACCAGTTGCTTTGCAGAAGAAAGATGGACACTCTCCTCCTGTGGGACGTACAGCCTCTGAAAACCGGCTGGAGGGTCAGCTATGATAACAACAAGCCCCATGGAATGTTGTTGTTGCTGTTGTTAGGTGCCATTGAGTCAAGTACGACTTACAGCGATCCTATGAACAACAGGTCTGACCTGCTCTATCCTGTGCCATGCTTACACTTCCTGACACGCTAGAGCTCACTGTGGCAGTCATCATGTCAATCTACCCGGCAGAGGGTCTTCCTCCCCTTCGCCGACCCTCCACCCTTTCCAGCCTCCACCCTTTCCAGCGTCATGTCCCTCTCCAAGGAACAGCCCCTCCTGGCAACACGCCCAAGTATATGAGGCAAATCCTCAACATCCTTGTCTCCGAAGAGCACTCTGGCTGCACCCTCTCCAAGACACACTTCTTTGTTCTTTTGACCGTTGACGGGATGTCCAGCGCTCTTCTCCCAACACCGTAGCTCAAAAGCATCAATTCTTCTTCTGAAATAGGCCCCATGAAATAAGTCCTTTAATTCCCTGACTCCTGCTTCTACTGACGTTGGCTGTGGATCCAAGTACAACGAAACCCTTGCCAGTGTCAGCCTTTCTCCCTTTATCATGATTGGACCAGTAGTGAAGGATTTGTGGGATTTGTGTTTTCTTGATGTTGCGGTGCAGTTCATAACTGAAGACTGCAGTCTTTGATCTGAAGTGTATGTTGCAAGTCTTCACTCCCTGCAAGCCAGGCTGTGTCATTCCCACAGCTCAGGCTGTCAGTGTTCCTCCAATCCTGATGCCAAGCTCCTCTTCAGAGTGTTCAGCTTCTTGGATTCGTTCGCTCAGTGCACTGTGGGTACTTAAGGCTTGCTGTCGTCAAGTCATCTTCAAACGCAAACCTAGAAAGCTAAATCATTTGTCTCTCTTTTTATATCAAAGATGAGTGAGGTTCAGACAGAGGGCGTGATCCACTTACAGTCACAAAGCCAGAGGCAGTGGGACACTGAATCGAACCACGGTCTCCCTCTTCAGCACTGGGTCCTCACATCACCCACAGCAGGGTAGCAGGGCCAAGAACAGGGGGCCCTCGAGCCCACCTCTTTCCTGTTC